TAATCTTATTTTTGTCATAAAGAATGGAACTGGAGAATGCAATAACAATAATATCAGAGGACTATTGGGTTTAAATCTGTACTATGAAGAGATTTTATTGAAAATTAATTGAAAGGCAAGATAAAACGTTAATGAAAGTGTACCAGTGTTAACAGTCTTTATATTATTTCGTTTATTTATTTATTTTTTTGTGACTATAGCTTGATTCCACACCGAATTTTCAGCCTGTGATATCTGCAGCCCAAAGTTCTCAGGCCGAACAGTGATATCAGGTGTGCGTTGGCAGGGGATCGAACCCTGGACTGTGTGCATGGTCGACGAGATTCCTAACCACTGTGCCAACGAAACACTAATATGGAAGGTACGATGTAATGATGTACAAATCATCTGCCTTATAAGCACATTTTCTAAATGATTCACATAAAGATGAAACTCCATAAACCAGTTAAAAATCGATCCAAAAATAGCATCAAGACTTTTATGTGATTTTCATAATCAACAAAATAGCAAGATGAAATCAAATCCGCCAAAGTTAATTTAATGATAAGACAAGACACGAGAGTAAACAGTTCAAAATTTGTGTTTACTCTAGGTAAACTTAACTTTTGCCAACTACATATATATATCCAAACATGAATTTATACACATAAAACGTGTTTGGTGAACCTTCCTATTAGAGTCAATATAATATAACTGATCATAGTCGTCAAGAAGCTTTGAACCTTGGGTTCCATTGGCATTGGCATTCGTCAGTAAGGCGGTATCTGCAGTCTTGAGGAAACTGATTTCTCCCAGGATATTCAAATCCCTTTTTCATCCAATGCTGTATTCAGAGATGTTAACACTTAATTGTTGAGGGCAAATAATGTTAAACCGAAGCTACCGATGAGAAACTTAATATCAATCAACGAATTGCAAAGAACACTTAACAGTCTTCGCTGTCATCTCTGCCCCTAAATTACTGTTCTTCTAAAAAATGTGTGTTTATTGAATGGCATCAATATTTATCATTTGGAATATCTCAATTTATCGTCTAAACCTAAGAAGTCTTTGGTCAAATGAGGAAGGAATGGAGTTCGTTGTACCGGTCACACTATCGATAATAGTAATAGTAGTTGTATTGTCATAATAAACATTGTCTATTTTTTTTTGTAAACTCAAGCCTAAAAAGATTGAAAACTGCTTAACTGATAAATTTTTAACCAGATCTGTAGATGAAAAATAAATTAACTCCTAATATACACAGATAGACGGAGCTTGAATTACCAGATTTAACAAAACAGATAAAGAATAAGACAAATTTAAGGGTAATTTGATGTGGTTTTGTTCTCTGAGCTGGATGGTTAGTTTGCGAAGCTTTCATCACCTTACTGGGTGACATCTTCAGCGCATACTTCAATTTGAAGTGAGCTTTTAGATTTCTCCACGAGTTTATTAATCATCTCTCCTGGTGACCTTGGACGTGGTTGGTTGTTTGTGTGTGTTTTCACACCTTCTAGGTTACTTGTATTGGAACCGGTTGTTTCTTTGACTTGAACTTTGACCCTTTGTGTGTGAAGTTTCTTTCTTATTGGTTGATAAATTTTGTCTATCTCGATGTGTCTATTGATTGATGATCCACTGGAATGCCAAGCTTCTAAAAATTCTCTAGCATTCTTGTTATTTCCTTTGTCTAATATTTGAACGTTGTCCCAGTCGAATTGATGTCCGTAGTTGTCTGTGTGTAGTGAAATGAGGGAGTGGATATCATGTCTTTTGACGGCTAGCTTATGTTTGTGGATACGAAGACGAAGGGGACGTCCACTTTGGCCGATGTAGTGTTTCTCGCAGTTGTTACAGTTTATTTTGTAGATGATGTTGGTTTTGTCTTCTTTCGCTGTTGAGTCTTTCGGTTGACATAGAATTGAGTGCAGCGACTTTGTTGGTTTGTGTACGACGTCAATTCCTAAAGGTTTGAAGAGTCTTGTAGTGATTTCTGAGATATCTTTTATATATGGTAAGGCAATTTTCTTTGTGCTTTCCTTGGTGGCTTTTGCTTTGGTAGGTTGGCTTAATAAACTTAATAACTTAATAAACAACGTTTTCAACGACATCAAATTCACAAGAGAAGAGGAATCCGAGAACAAAATACCATTTTTGGACGTCTTAGTCAGGCGAACAACTACAGGAGAATTAGAAACTCAAGTTTATAGGAAATCAACTCACACAGACCAAATCCTAAATTACAACAGCAACAACCCAATAACACACAAAAGGAATTGCATACAAACACTATTCAAGAGAGCAAGGACTCACTGCAGCACTCCCACCTTAAGAAAAATTGAAGAAAAGTATCTCATGGACGTCTTCCAAAAGAATGGATATCCACGGAATTTCATCAAGAGACATATACCCCCAAGCCAACCTACCAAAGCAAAAGCCACCAAGGAAAGCACAAAGAAAATTGCCTTACCATATATAAAAGATATCTCAGAAATCACTACAAGACTCTTCAAACCTTTAGGAATTGACGTCGTACACAAACCAACAAAGTCGCTGCACTCAATTCTATGTCAACCGAAAGACTCAACAGCGAAAGAAGACAAAACCAACATCATCTACAAAATAAACTGTAACAACTGCGAAAAACACTACATCGGCCAAAGTGGACGTCCCCTTCGTCTTCGTATCCACAAACATAAGCTAGCCGTCAAAAGACATGATATCCACTCCCTCATTTCACTACACACAGACAACTACGGACATCAATTCGACTGGGACAACGTTCAAATATTAGACAAAGGAAATAACAAGAATGCTAGAGAATTTTTAGAAGCTTGGCATTCCAGTGGATCATCAATCAATAGACACATCGAGATAGACAAAATTTATCAACCAATAAGAAAGAAACTTCACACACAAAGGGTCAAAGTTCAAGTCAAAGAAACAACCGGTTCCAATACAAGTAACCTAGAAGGTGTGAAAACACACACAAACAACCAACCACGTCCAAGGTCACCAGGAGAGATGATTAATAAACTCGTGGAGAAATCTAAAAGCTCACTTCAAATTGAAGTATGCGCTGAAGATGTCACCCAGTAAGGTGATGAAAGCTTCGCAAACTAACCATCCAGCTCAGAGAACAAAACCACATCAAAATCATCCACCTGAGCTACAGATCTTCTCTATCATATCTAAATTTAAGTGTATACATGTCTCGGTTTTTTTTTACAGTGAGTGCTCCTTAATACTTCTGAACTTAAAGGCTGGTCGAAAATAGTAACGCATAATCTGTTAAGATGTGAGATAATAAAGGTTTATTTGGTAAATATCTACACCAATTTTTATAGTTATTCCTAATTTGAGTTAAACATTATGCTACTACATTGATTGCACTAGTTAAGAACCTCGTAAACTTAATATTCTCTTTCCACATCTACAGGATTATCTTACAAATTAATATTTTGAGTTTAACAACAAGTCGTTTTGATATAAATATCATGTTTTAATCTTGCTTCGTAAAATTAATCAACCAACATCAAAACAAAACCCCAGCATCACTCACCATCAACGGGAGAGATTTAAAGGAGGTTGCCTTCTTCACTTATACAACCAGGAAGCATCGTTTCAACTACATACAAAACGGATGAAGATGTCAAATTCAGAATCGGAAAGGCAAGATACCCCTTCATCAACCTGAAACCAGTTAGGAAATATCCTGCACTCCACGGCATTAAGAAAGCAATTCGGATTTTCAACGCAAAGGTGAAATCAGCCAGCTAGTTATTCTATATGAGTCAAAAACTTGCAATGTGCGTGAGTCACGAAAAGCATTTCCAACAGGCTGCTTCATACTTTAGTCAACAGCTGCCACTTTCAGTGGTCAGCTCCATACCGAAGATCAAATAGCCACCCGGTCAGCTAGCAAGAATTAGCAACAAGAAACTCCGGGCGGCAACAAACCGACCAACCAAGAGCCGATCGCTTAACAAATGTATAAGAGGAAATAGAGAGAGGCCAGATATACGCCAGTGAGGAGGCCATCAGATGACATTGTGCGCAATGCAAGCCACCACCTGAGTGGAAGGTGAACAGGAAGCGACGAGTTGGTCGTCGGTGAGATGGAGATCATGTGAGTTGGATGTGGAGGATGAGGCGGAGGAGATGAGAGATTATGGGCAATCGTGTGGCTAGCCAGCTGAAGAGGACAACAGAAAATAGAAGAAGCTGGTGATGTGCTATCGTGACCCTATGTCCTAGTCAGAACCCGAGGGAGTAGTAAGAAGTAATAATTTTGTTTCTTAATACGGAATTTCAGTGAAATATTAACAACATAACTTCTTTCCAGGTTTTTTCTCCCCAGGCTTGTTGAATGATTTGTTATTGTGGGAGAGTAAATCTTGTCTGGAGTAATTCAAGTGAAACTGTTTTAGCATCGTATAATTCATTTTGTATACAAGCACAAATAAGCTTTCGGAAGAGCTTTTTTAAAAAAAATATTTTTCATTCATAATACCTCCTCAGTTATTGTTTTGATTGAACACTAGTAACTAGTGTGATGTGTCTGGCTAGTCCTATGTTTTGGTGCAGACTGAATTCTATCAGTCAGGTTTGCATCGTGGCCATAAATTTAGTCAGCTCACCATCAGAGTGCCTATTAATTTGATGATATTAGATGCTTGGAGGCAATCGGCAGTTACTACTGTCTAATGAAATTATACACTACAGTCCTACAGGAGGTTAATCGCAAATCTGAAGTGCTCAGTAGTAACGTGTCTGACTGCAGCATCGGGTGATGCGGGTTTGAATCTCAGAAGGGACATGAATTCCGTCGAATTTTCAGATATGCCATGCTGACTAGTGAGTGCCAACTAGCACGAAAACTAATTGGAAGACTCCCTGCCGATTGCCTGCAACCATCTTATATTATTTATTATTATTATAATACATTGCTTTAGATCACTTATAAACCTTACTGAAGCAGTTAAATGATTACAGAAGTCAAATAAATGTAGACTTACCGCAGGCTCTATTCTGATCACGATCGGTTGCACAGATAATAAAAGTATGATTTCCAACATGCTCAGGTAATGGCTTTAACCGTATAATTTGATTCTTTGCATCAAACGATACCCACTGTTTTGCATCACGAGTAATCTCTCCACCAATAGCTTGATTTAAATTCTCCATAGACTTAAGTTCAATATATGAAATATTTTCTCGATTTGAGGCAAACAAGGTGAGTTTTAGATTCTGTGTAAAACCATCTTGTAGATCATGAAAAGTGTTCTGCGGAATCTGAATATTAGATATTTGATAAACTGTTGTTTTTATTGGTGTAATATAATTTTTAACTCTTGGTATATTTGAATGAGTCATATCAGAAGTTGAATGTTCAAGATATGATCGATAGTCAAGTTTTGGAAATTGATGAACTGAAGCCATTCCTGAACCTTCTTCTAAATAACCAGCTTCACGTGATGACGAGACAGATCTTCTGTTCAGTGTTCGTTTTATGTTTCCATTATAAGATTGTAATGTTTCATCAGGTGTACCATGATGAATTAAATCACCAACGATCCACTGAGCTATCTGTTGAAATTTGAAAAATAGCGTGATACGATGACAAAAATGTAATGGCTTTAAAGGACTGTCAAAATAATATTTAAAAAATATTCTCGCCCCTAAGAAAAACGTGTAAATCAAGCTATTCTATATGGGGCATCAGAGCAGCTTGATAACTAGACAAAGACTGAACGCTGCTGTTAAAAAGACTTTTTATGCAGTTAATATCATAATAATAGAGAATGTAAAGCCATTATATCTATCCGGGCCCTTCGAACATGCGAAAAATGACGTCACGTCCCACTGTATTTACCAATCCGAATAAACATGTGGGCACACACACATAGAGAGGACTCATCGATCTCTGCAAGTAAGGACTGGCTTCAGAGCATATTCCTAAATGGCTCCAAAAACAAATGGAATCTTCAGAACATATGAACGCTGAAAACAGCAGACCTAGATCTTCCACTGCGAAACATATTATAGAGAGAGGAAATAAAATTGACGTTAACAGATCTTTAAACCTATCTATAAAACGTGTTTAGAGGAGGGCGCATCCTAAAGTTTGTGGAAGCCCTAGCTGGCAATTAGAAAGTTCAAGCCACCTTTATGCGTTCAAAGCAACAGTTCGTCATCACACTAAACCACCTTCCTTGGTAAATTTTGTTTTGATACCAGTCAGGGCAGATGTACTACTACCTCTGCTGTTTGGTTTAGTGATCTTCATTGTTATTTTGACCTTCAACATGTCCTTTTAACTTGACCTGTATCTATTTCGTCACTTCTTAACTCCTTACTGATTTCATATATATTCCTATGACAAGTCCGTGTGTGATGGATCAGATTGTTCGAAATGTGTTGCTCAAATACACATTTTACACGATTCAGACAAATTACGTCTTCTTATTGCTTTATCTAAATTCATAAAGGGAACTAATTGTTTTAAATACTGGTAATGCAAAGTCCAGTAAGAAATGCAGACCAGAAAACCAGATGAACTTATCTTTAGGAAAATATCAAATAATGACATAACATATATCTGATGTTGTTGACATTGTCTATCGGCTTATTTTTCTATTAGGAAATGACTTTATGAAGTGATCTGTTCACCGATCTACTGGAAATAATATTACCTAGAGACATTAGAACCTATCGATTTAATCTAATGCAGTTAAAAAGTATAATGTGTTACACTCATGCAATAATTAATAAGTTAATTTGATCTGTAAGACCTAAAGACTGAATGAAAAACATTACCCACCGCCATCCATAGTAGTTTTTACTCCATCTCTGTTTCACAGATATGACATCTTTGATCTTCAGATCATACTTAATATATCAGACTTTTGTGAGAAAGAGCCTTTTTTTATTTACAAAACTGAAACAATCCGTTGTCATGGTGAATCATTTCACGTTAAACATTCAACCTGAGATAGTAATTCAAATAAGCGATAAACCTAAATGAAGGTGATTATATGTATCTTTCTGGAATTTTATTGTTTTACAAACACACATGATAAATTAGCATATACATAGCGATGCTAAGCCCACAGTTTCTCTTGTTACAGCAAATATCATTCTAATGTTCATGTGCATGCAAGCAATATCATAGTTATTTTACATCCCTTGCCTTATATCTAACTTCCGTCACATTTAAGCACGATATAAGATTTGGCATAAAGCATAGATAATATTCATGAAAAGGATGCGTACTACATATCCTGCAGGAAGCAGTATCTAATCAGATATAATATGTTGAATTTCGTTTGATAATTGCTAATAAATAAATTTTTTTATTCTTTCACGTTCCTTGTGGAACGTAGGGCTACTTCAAGCTAGAGACTTGAAGTTTCGGTCGCAGTGGTGTTTATTAATTTTGAGAGATTGCGTTGCTAGCCTCATGCACAACCTTCCCTCTTTACCAGTCTTATTACCGGCTTAGCGAGGTAAAGGAGTGCGTCTGTGGCCGGGAATCGAACCCCAATCCACATGCATGGTCAGCGAGCATTCTACCACTGTGTCACCGACGCACTGATAAATACATACTCATATATATATATATATGTCATTCGGTCGAAACTATGCACATTGCATAGAGTCATAGGATAGCAGGGCAGTATTTCAGAGAACATAACAACTGCCAAACACATCTGCGTTGATGGCACAGAGGTTAGGACTCTCACCGACCATGCACATAGTCCTGGTTTCGATCCCCTGCCGACGCACACCTGATATCAATGGTCGGCCTGCAAAATCTCGGCTACCGATATTATATGCTGAAAATTTCATATTTGTTCCGAAAATACGGTGTGAAATCAAGCTATAATAAAAAAAAAATAAAGAAATATCAAGAGGTGCGATCAACCTGTTCTACATTCTAATCATCACTTTGGTTCTCTTACAACAGATTGCAAAGCTGAAAGGAAAACTCCAAATACAAACTTTCAATTATTTAATGCATCAGTTTTTGAACAGTTGTAAACGTTATTCGTGTGTAAAAATCTCTCAAGAACTAAAGTCTGAGAAATTTCGACAGCATATTTTCGAAGTGATGTCTGTCAATATTATGGAAGTTGTAACATCCACTGGTACTGTAGGACTGTGGATTTACGGATAAACTAACAGGTTTTCACTTTGTTACAGGTAAATATGTGCGTCGGTGTCACAGTAGTAGAGTGCTCGCCGACCACGTTGATGGTCCGGGATTTGATCCGCAGCCGACGCACTCTTTCACCTCTGAATGTTGGGAATAATGCTAGCAACTCCATCCTGTAGAAATAATCACCATGGCTACCAAAACTTCAAGTCTCTAGGATTGTAAAGGAATAAAAATCTGATAGATATCAGTTTAAATCCGAAAGTTCTTAGAGTGATGTTCTTGTATTGTAGATAAGATTCTTCAAGTCGCCAGTATGAAAAGCGTTTTCAGTATGCTCCAGATAAGCGAATATTTGTGGACAATATCAAATAATTAATTGCTCAAACATTCTGCAAACCTTTGAAATACACTATCCGCTGTACTTAAAAAGACGAAAAAGACATATAAGAGAATCGACTGCTCCTCAGTGGAATGAAAATATCGTGATTCAAAATATACATGTTTCACTTACCGTACACGCAACAAATCGTAGCCTTCCAATATATTGTTATGTATAAACAAGACATACAAATTTATGTACGTCTTGCATTCTATGCTTCAAGCTTCGAAATTTCAGTAGTAGTGGTGTCGGTTTCACAGTGTGGGGTTTTTAGATTTACATTAAAATTTTCCCTCTTTTCCAATCTTATTATCTGTTAGGCGAGTTTTAGGCCAGGAATCGAATTAGGAAAATATGTATAGTTGAGAAGCTTTCTGACATTGAATTACCGAAGCACATGCATAATGCTACTTCGTGTAAATGGATGTTAAATTTCGGTGTACTTAAACTTAAAAGTGTCGATTAGCAGGGATTTGTACAGTTACGGGTTTGATCAGGAGCTAAAATCACTCAGAGAATAGCTGGACAACTGTTTCGCCCTAGTTTGAGAGTCTCCGATGTCTTAACTAAGGGCCTGATATAATAATAACAGCTTTATTTCAGACAGTATTTGTGGTACAGGTATGGAATTTTCAGCGGGCCTTACAATATATTGCATCTAATTACCTCATAAATTTTATAAGATTTTAAAATCAAAAAGCAACACCCAAAAAAGATAAATAGAAAAAAATAAAAAGAATAGCGTTGCGTTTACATTTTAAACAATGCACCACAGTATATGAAATATAAAACTGGTGTGTAATAGAAGATGAGTACAACATTGTAATAGTAACGAGGAAAGGAAAACAAAAACTAATGGGACTATTTGTTAGAGTGCCGCAATAAGTTTATCGTGTCATACCTAATGGATTTCTCATCACATAATAGCTGTGCCAGATATGGTATTGTGGAGATTTTGTATTTGGTGGTCCTAGCATATAACCGCCTATAGCTGCTTCTAGTTCTACCAGATGAAATGCAAGGAGACAGCTGCGTGTAGAAAGGATCCTCGGGGTCCGACAATATTGTATTCGCTAGTTTCTTACATGATATAATATGTCTATCTACAATAGTGTTAACCAGTTGGTTTAACGATATCCCACTTGCCCTACTAACGGCTTTTAGTGCACTTCTCAGCAAAGCAAAGTCATTCATAAGTAGTCCACGAAAGATTAATGGGGAGCAGTAAAGAGGGATGGGTAGAATACAAGAACTCACAAACTGAGAAAGCAAAGACTGCTTTATGCCAAACTGCCTGAATTTCCTAACATAGAACGTTAAGCAAAACATCTTTCTGGTAACTAGCAAGATGTCGGAGGACCAGGAAAGATAGCTGGAAAAACTCAGTCCAAGGTACTTGACATCTAATGTCAAGTACCTACAAGGCAAGCTCGTAGACCAATAAGTCACTGGGACCTGACTCATAGGTCCATGGATTCCAGCTTCTGCAAATTTGCGATATATATGTCTATATATACACATAAAGCGCAGCTGCCAGCCAATACCATAGGCGGGTAAGTGTCCCCTTGCCAGGTCTAGTGTACTTCGATTGGACACTAGTCACTAGTGTGATGTGTCTAGTCCCTCCTTTGGTGCAGACTGAATTCTATCAGTCAGGTTTGCAATGTGGCCACCATTCTAGGTAGCTCACCATCATGTTGCATATTGATTTGATGATATTAGATAGCTCAGTGGTAACGTCTCTGACTGCAGTAATCACTGGATGACACCGGTTCGAATCTCAGAAGGGACATAAATTCCTTCGAATTTCAAGATACGCCTTGCTGACTGATGAGCGCCAACTAGCACGAAACCTAGTTGGAAGGCTTCCTGCTGATTGCCTCCAACTATCTAGTGTACTTCGTTAGTCACGATGTCTTACTAGAACTCCAGATAACTTTCTCTATAGAGCTAGTTGCTAATGAACATCAGATTAATGGTCTAATGTTGTTTTTCAGCTTTGATGACGGGCTGAGATTAATTAGAGAACTCTTGAGAGTGCATACCGCC